CCACTATCTTGCTTTCATTTCCATCACCTAACACAAACCGCTTGCAAAAAGTCACCAACCCATCCTCCTTATTCATTCTTATAGCCTTTCTGTAGCCTCAACTTCCCGGGTAATTTTATGAGATACTTTCTTCCCCCTTTTTTTTGAATAACAGGAAATTTTCTGATTTATGTCCCACGTCTCTGACCATCTCAGACTCTTCGTACTCTCCAACACCCTAAATGAAGTGGCTCTCTAAACCCATTATTGGTTGAGTGATTTCATATAATCCCATGGATTCAGCTGTCACCTCCAAGGCAAAAGCATTCTGGACATATCCCCAGGTCTCATTTCTCAAACTGACCATTATTTTCTTCCCACCAGTATGCATTTTTATGTCATCTCCAAAAAGGCAGAACACTATACTGAACACTATTAAATTAAGAAAATCAGACTAGAATGCCAGTGACAGAACCAGCTTTGAAGAAAAATGAGAAAAAAAATACACCTTTTGAAATATCCTACATAGGTATTTAACTAAACATTTCTGTCATGATGTGGTTTTTCACTGACTTCCACTTAGTCTCAATTTACGGTGTCTTTCTCTACATAAGAGGCAAACACAGAGCGAACCATTGTAGGCACAATAAACTCACTTTCTTGTCTGAGTAGTAGGGGTCCAGGTCCTCCAAGGGCTCCGACACCATGCCCGGAGGGATGTCCCCGTAGATGAAGGGCAGCTGTTTGCCGGCTTCCAAGTCACTGCTTGGCTTTGGACCTTCTTCATCGTCGTCTTTCTTTTCTTCTTTGGGTTCCTTTGTTTTTCCTTCAGCAATACGTTGTTCAATGAGGGCAAGAGATTGTTTTGTGAAGTAGACAAAGCTCTGAGGTCCTGGGGGAGGCAACATTGCCATCTTTTCATCCTGTATATTTTCTTTCCCCCTTCAGCTCCTTACATGAGGCCTAAGTAGAAACAAAGCCTTAAGTGCTTGCCAGCCAGGGATGGCACTTTCATAACAATAATAATAAAACAGATTTTAGTTTCAACTACAGGAGTTAATGTGTTCACAGAATTATCATCATGTTGAGTGAACACTTATTAAACGACTATTACGCACACAATTTATTTTCCATGCTCTCTAACCATCCTTATTTAAAAATTGGAATTTAACACATCACAGCTTATAAAGTAAAACACTGACAACTTATTGAAAACTAGTTTAAAATTCTCTTTGCTTTTCACGTGTATTCATTTTTAGTGCAATTCAATTCCACTTTCCTTGTTTAAGAATCTTTATGACTGTGCTTCCCACAGAACCTCTCCCTGGTTCTCCTCTCGCCTCTCTGGTCACCTGATCCTCTTCTGTCTTACACCTCATGGCGTACTCACACCCTCTGCTTCCCTCTCAGGGAAACTCATTTCTGTAAAGTGAGGTGGTGGAAGATTGTTTTACTCTATTTTATACATTCATATTTTCTTACAATAAATAGATACTCCTTTTCAAGCCACAAAAAATGTATTTCTATTATGTATTAAAAACAATTTAGGAAAATGTTTTGGGAAGAAGAAAGAAGAGAAAAGAAATTTGGGGAATATTTGGGTAGATTCAATTTGAAAAGTAGGAAAAAACCCACTACAATATGCATTCAAATTATGACTCCCCTAATTAACTGACATGTGTATGTGAAACGTTGCAAACTACAGGAAAGAAAAATACAACATAAAAAAATCTGAGTTTCTACAAATTATTATTTTGGAATGTTCTAAATAAAAGAGCATGAAAAATAATGGTTCTTATTTTAAAATTAACAGACTCATTATTTCAATGAGTCAAGGTAACTTCATAACTCCTCCATTAGGAAATAAAAAGTGAGTCTTTCTGCATTAGGATTGCCTGAGAGTTAGGACACACCAACTTCCAGAATGTCAACCCACTGTGAACAGCTTGAAAGGCTGTATATTAAGTGATATCATCATACACACAGGGAGGGTGAACTAAGAGAAGCCATGGTCTTGTCTTTTCTTTTCCAATGCTACATATAAAAATTAAGCAAATCACAATAGTGACAACACAGGTTATATGGATTCAGAAAAAAGGGTTGGGAGAAGCTGAAACTAATTATTCTTTTCCAGGTTTCTCCTATTCACATGTCCAACAAAATTAACTTCAATTATGTTTAGGGCAAAATGAATGACTTTTCACCCCAGTGATTTGGACACTGTAAAAATAGCCCTTACCAGAAATTTAGGTATTTTTTAAAGGTGGAAAACCAATTAAAAGACAGTAGAAAAATTATCATTTTGCAATTGTGAATTTATATAAAAATTTATAAAGCAAATTTAGCTTTTTTGAAAAATGCTCCTTTTATGATATCACACAATCCAGTCTGGTTTTTGCCATGGTATGCTATCATCACATTTATTGTTCAACCTACTAACCCATCTTCATTTTAAATGTTTTTAGCAAATACTTAACCTGTGCACGTTACTATATTAGATCTTCAGACCTGTGAGGGGAAGTAGAAAACGAAGTTTTTGTCTTTAAGGAACTTACATTCAAAAAAGAAAAAACAATCATACCAAATCACATAGCAAAAGACAAACCCGGTTTCACTGTAGTAAAGGAGAATACAATCAGCTTAAATAACTCACATTTTTTTTTACACACTGATGTAGAAACAGAGATAGAGATGTAGGCAGGTGTCAGGAAAGAGAGTATCACAGGTATAAGAAAGTGGTGAGTTCCTCTGATTTAAGTACAAAGTTTTAAACATTTCAGATATGAATTTTAGAATTCCTTTAGCAATCTCTACAATGGTGGAGAATAAAAAGCCTCTTACAAGTAATAGATATATAGCAACATTTCATGGGAGAGAATGTGTTGAAAGCCAGGCAAATGGCATATTTGCAGATAAGATCACATTCCTACATATGGATTCAGAGTAAACCGAAGTGTATACCTATGAGAAAGAAGAACAAACATCAGCCTACTCTGCTGGACACAGGCAGCGAATAGTATTGCTTTTAAACAGAATTTACTATGTGTGTGCTGGTTTGTCTTGGGTTTAAAGTATTGTACTAAGATTACTTACTACATGATTTCTATAAATTCAACACTAGTCAAAAGAGACATATATTTTGATGTAAACTAAAGTTGAGATGATTTGTTTTAAAGAATGTAGTGAAAGATGTGGTACATAATAGAATACTACTCAGCCATGAAAAAGAATGAAGTAATGCCATTTGCAGCAACATAGGTGGACCTAGAGATTACCATACTAAGTGAAGTAAGTCAGAAAGAGAAAAACAAATACCATATGGTATCACTTATATGTGGAATCTAAAAAAATGACACAAGTGAAATTACTTACAAAACAGAAACATACTCACAGACATAGAAAACAAACTTATGACTATCAGGTGGGAAAGAGAGGGGTGGAGGGATAAACTGGGAGTTTGGGATTTGCAGATACTAACTACTATATATAAAACAGATAAACAGCAATGTCCTACTGTATACCATAGGGAACTATATTCAATACTTTGTACCAGCCTATAATGAAAAAGAGTAAGAGAAGGATATATTTATTATATATATAGTATAACAGAATCACTATGCTGTACACCAGAAATTCACACACTGCATACCAACTATACTTAAAAAAAAATCCCCATAAAAACCTGCACATCAATGTTCACAGCCTCATTATTCATAACAGCCAAAAAGTGAAAACAACCCAAATGTCCATCAACTGATAAATGGATAAACAAAATGTGCTATAGCCATACAATGGAGTATTACTTGACAATTAAAAGAAAGAAAGTACAGATACATCTTACAACATGGATGACGCCTGAAAACCTTGTGAAAGACTGACCCAAAAGATCACATCTTATATGATTCCATTTGTCTGACATGTCCAGAATAGGTATACCCTCAGAGACAAAAAGTAGATTATTGTTGCCAGAGGCTGGGGGCAGTAATGAGGAGTGATTGCGAATGGTTATGGGGTTACTGGTTAATGAGAATGGAGTTTCTTTGGGGGGGTAATTAAAATTCTCTAAAATTAGATAATGTTAATGGTTGCACAACTCTGTGAATATACTAAAAACCACTAAATGCACATTTTAAAAGGGTGTCATTTTTATGGTATGTAAGTTATACCTCAATAAAACTATTATAAAAACATGCTAAAAAACTGAGACATGTGAAAATTGTCCTGAGATGAGAAAAGAAATTTAGTAAAATGAAAAACAAGCTCACATACTCAACACCAATCACTGTATTAGTCCCTCCAGGTTCAGTATAAACATGGGATTGCTTTTGGTCTAAGATTAATTCAGGAGAAGCTCAGGTTTAGTTCTAGCCCTTAAAGGGCATACAGATTAGAAAACCATGGTCACAAACCAGATGACCTGATTCCAGAAGTTAGTCGCCTTTTGGTAACTGCACGACATCAATCTGAGAAACAAGGCAGTGAGTGCAGTTGCCACCTGGGCTTAGGAGAGTCCTCAACACATGGAAATTACAAAGGTGAGGAAGGGTCACTTACTTCAACTGACTTTCTGTGTACACATGCCTGGTCTCTTGAGAAATCCTACCTAACAGCCAATCTTCCTTTTTAACTGGGGTGAACAGGCATCTCCCCTTGAGAGTAGTGGTGATGGAAGTCGAGCCCTACCTCTTACTGTGGAAATCCCAGGAGAACTAGCCTTTCTTGCTGCTCATTAGTATGGCGAGGCCACATCTCCTAAACTTATCCAAATAGATTAACTTTCCCTTTACTCTGACCCTGGAATGAGTGAAGCCAAGATGAAGGAAGGTCTGCTTGGAATTCCTTTGTGCAACCATGGGAGAGTCCAACTGTGGCAGAACCGTCCAGCAGTCCTGGCCAGGTGAGTCTGCCAAACCACCTCCAGCCCTCCCTTTGTTCTGCTCATTTCTCCAACCAGCTCTTCCAGCTTCCCAAAGCCCTCCAGTGACTGCGCGAGGACTCAAGGACCTTCCAATAAATCTCTCTTTGGCTTGAGACAGCCAACGTTTATTTCTCCTGCTTTCAACCAATATTCTTGTTTAATAAGGGAAAATTACTTCTGACTCACTGTGTGGAAACTAGGTTAGGACAAGAACAAGCTAATTTTAGACAGGGCAGTTTTGCTAAGTGATTAAAATATTTCAAAATCAAATTTTCTTTTAAAATTACATTGTTAATACATTTCAAAATAAAATCACAGTTTTTCATCCTCAGGAAAGTCTGGAACATATAGGAATATTGTGATTATGAGAAATATAAAGATTAATAATAAAATGATTAAAATAATAATCATAAGAATGCTCTATTATTTGATCTTGGCCTAAACCAGTGGTTCTCTCAACAGGGCAGTTCTCCCCTACCCACCTCTCAGGTAGGGTTGCCAGAGTTATTAGCAAATAAAAAATTACAACATTCAGTGAAATTTAAATTATTTCTAATTGCCTATGTACCTTTTGAGATAAATGAAACACATACACAGAGCATATTTATTCTAAAAACGCATTCACTGTTTATCTGAAATAAATTATCAGTATCTAAATTATATACATCTTTCCTGAAAATGTCCTTGAAGATTTGGCTTTCATTAACAGCTTCTTGTTTTGCAGAATTTTCTTCTAAAATTCCTTGCAGTTAAGAGTCTATGTTCCATTTACATTGTAACAGATCTGCCTTAGTGGTCAAATCAACTTAATTCTTTTGTTCACTGAACATTCACTAATGAGAAAACATGCTCAATGTTAGCCTTACATGCTGGGATACTGAACACTCACTGACATAACGTTAGCACCTCTGAGCCTTACTTGCTATTTCTTTGAAGCACATAATACAATCTTTCATGACACAACTTGCTTTTGTATTTTTTAGGATTAAGTTGTAGTTCTTGATCTATGGCTTTTTAAAATGCTGTTCACTGATTAAGTAAGAGC